TATATATTTTATTTTATTTTTTGCAAACTTCTTTAATGCCCAACTGTAATGTAGTAGGAAGAGCGGTATTGTTTTACTGTGTTGTAATTTATTTAATGTTTGCCTTTATGGAAAATGGCTGGCTTCCCATATTTTCTTCTGCATTCCATCGATTGCAAAGTGCTCTTGGTTAAAGTACATGAAAAATATCTGACTTCACACTGGAGATGTGTTTTAACTTTTTCTGGTAATTGTGGATATGCTTGTTTGATACTATAGTAAAACTTGATAGGCATTAATTTCCATTACAATCATATTGGTCTACTTTGAACTTTGAATGGCTCTCTTACCCAGGCACGTTTCATAATGTCATGTACCCAACATTCGGAAAAGTACTGGTTTATCAAGTTACACAAATATTTCAGATTTTAATGTATTTTATTATACAAAATTAAAAACCACATCTTAATACCAAAACTGATGTCATCATAAAATGTCTGCAAAAATTTGCCTGTCTAATGCTGTCTCAAGAAAAATTCTTGTTACAAGCCAAAAGGGTTTCATTCAGCTTCTAACCCAATCACAGTAATTGTTTTTCTTGAAACAATCACCATACTTCATAATGCAGCAGACATGCTTTAATGTATATATCCTGTGTTGTTGGATAGAATATTAAAAAGATATGTATCCAAGGATAGTGATTTAATAAACAATTTTTATTGCTTCATCCAGGTATCATAATTGAAAATTTTAAGCTGCTATTGTATGCATGTGAAGAATACAATGATTTCTAGTAAAAATTGAATACAAATGCTTCTATTTTTGCCCAGAAAAACTGGATTTTTGCCCACAATTGCTTTTGCACTATCCACAAATGTCGATAGAGTGAAAAGCCCGAATAGATCATAACATTTTAACTATGTTCTAGTGTTAATAAGTCATGAAACAGTTTTGAATCTGTGCACTTCATGAAATGGTGTGGGGACTCTGAGTACTTCAAGAATTGCTATTTGAATGAAATGTTGCTTTGATATATACTTCTGAAAATCAGTCATACTTTGCTTGATTTGTTGGTAATATGTTAATTTAAGCTTTCTTCAGTGACAAGCTTTCAGGGATACCTATGCATAACTCTTAATAGACAGCATACCTTCTTATAAACATTGTAAGAATAAACTAAGAAAATTGTGTCTTTTGTTAGTTTTTGTTGAAATTCTTTAAAAATGAAGGTGTCTTATGAAAGTGAAAAATTTCATGAACTCTGTTTTGGCAAAATTTTATAGGTCAGCTCAACCACTTACTATATGTATGTATGACCTTGATAAGTTATTTAAAAGTTCTGTGCCTTAGTTATAAAGATCTCTAAAATAGGATAACAATAAACCTACTTACAGGGTTGCTATGAGGTTTAATTGAATTAATTAAAAACAATTTTCATAGCTTTATCGCACTGTAGTAGTCTTTTGAGGTTTTCTTTACATATAGGTTGTCTCCTGTTAAACCACAGCTCTTAATTTATGCTAAAGTAATGAAGCATTATTAAAATTTATATTATAAAAACGTCACACATACTGTGAGCCAGTTCTAATTTGAAATATATAAGAATAATTTATAGAAGTGAATTTCTTCTATATGTATTGCTTCTTGAGTGGGTACACAGTTATAGTGAACTTATTCAAGTGATTCTCCTTATTGATATATTAAGTTATAATGAGATTTACTGTCTTAAATTCCTTTGATTACATCTCTGCCTCTTTCATTTTACTACAAGTATATAGCAGTGGATTTATAGAAAGAAACAGTAACCTTACGACATTACTAGGAACCTGAAAACTGCTCATTCTAAAATAGTTTAAAAATGATCTGTCATCTAATTATACTGCCTTTTTATTTATTTATTTTTATTTTATTTTATGTATTTTATTTTATTTATCTTTTTTTTTAAGGGAGAGGGATAGAGAATTAGAAACATCACATCGATCAGCTGCCTCCTGCACACTCCCTACTGGGGATGTGCCCGCAACCCAGGTACATGCCCTTGACCGGAATCGAACCTGGGACCCTTGAGTCCGCAGGCCAGTGCTCTATCCACTGAGCCAAACCAGTTAGGGCTATACTATCTTTTTTAAAGTTATGAGTGAAGCTATATAAAAACACTAAATTATACTCTTTAAGGAAATCTCAACACTAATAAATTGAATGTATGTGTGTTTAGTGAAACATGCTATACTATACAATATAAATTGGTATTTTACCAGTGATATTGCTACGTTAACGGATTATTGTAAGGTTTTTATTATATTATTTATAGAAATATATTTTAGAATTGGAGCATCAGGAAAGGAATGTTAATGCCACTGTTGCATAATTGACTTAAAACCATAGATCTCTTCACTGTGTTAATATGATTTTCACAAAATTGTGTTAACTAAGAAAATGGAATAATAGAACAATTTAAGAATATTTTTTAAAAGTACGTTGTGAATAATAAAGCTAAACATGTTATTTCAGAAAGTGATAGCTAGAGGTAAAGCTGAAGTTATAAAAAGATAATAGAAATGGTAGTCTCTACACCTTAACCCCACCAGTGAATCATAGGCATCAAGTTAGAGTGTTAGGGTATATGAGGGGGATTTGAAAATTGAAGCTTTATACAGTGAGACAATAATGATTACCTTCTCTAAACTGCATTTCTAATCTTCGTAGTTAAGTCAAATATAAAAGTAAAAATACAAATTGAACCCCTGTTTTTAATCCTCACCCGAGGATATATTTCCATTGATATTTAGGGAGAGTGGAAGAGAGAGGGAAAGATAGGAACATTGATGTGAGAGACACATTGATCGGCAGCCTCCTGCATGCCCTGTACTGGGGATCGAGCCCACAACCTGGGCATATATCCTGACTGGGAATAGAACTATGATCTCCTGGTTCATAGGTTGACGCACAGGGCTAAAATTAATTTTAAACGTAAAAAAATTATGCTTTCTTTAGATTCAGACATTGTTACTTTTGTCTGAGTATGTTTTTTAGGATCACTACATTTAACACATTTGTCTGATACTGGAAAAGATAATCAAATAATAGTGCAAATTGCAATTGTAATATGTTGAGTTATTTCGCCAAATGTAGTATGTTTAACATATTTTATACATTTATATGACCTTTTGTGTTCACCTCAAGAGCATTTTGTTTCATAACTTGCCAACTGTGTAATACCACTTTTATTTAGGTTTCCAAATAAAAACACTGTTCTAATGAAGGAAGGGAGTGTTACATTGAGTATTCAATAATTGCCTTGTTTTGTGGAGACTTTTATGGTAACCCTGTATTATATTGGTCATGGGTAAAATAATGCTTGAATACTTGAATAAAAAGGCAAGGATGAATTACAGTATTTCAGAAGTGAAAATAATCTATAACTGTTTTTAGCTTAGTGTCTCACAGCTGTTTGTATTGTATGTATGAATGTGTTTGAATATAAAAGTGGTAACAGTCATTTCTGTTTGAAGACTTTAGTGATCTGGGAGGAAAAAATAATTGGCCCTGGGGGTTATTATTACAAGATTTTAAAAAAAATCTAGGCATGTGTCTTTGATCTATGGAATAAAAACATTAAAAATATTCTCTGGTAAATTTCATGTAATCTGACTTATTTATAATCTAGCATTATAAACTGGGTGCTTTAAACATTGTAGTATGTTAAGCCTGGGAGACTGAAGTTTCTTTTCAGTGCTCTTATTAAGTGAGAGGTGTTGGAAAATTAACATTCTTTAATGGAAAGTGTTGTCCCAATTTATTCTTTTCTTTTTTATTTTAGATGGGAAATGTGATAAGATCGATAGGTTGACTGTGATAACTATGTTTACTTACAGAGAGAACAGGAAATGAGAATGGGTGATATGGGTCCCCGTGGAGCAATAAACATGGGAGGTAGGGATTGGAAGCAAAGGCTTCTATAACTTATTTGTAATTCTTTGGGCAACGGTATATGCTATTTGTGGTATCTACATGTCAGTAACAAACTGAAGTTTGGAATCAACATTTTAATGATGAAATCTCTTACATTTATGAAATTAAAAGATACAAGTATATTTAAAAATATATGCCTAGGGAGAATTTTTTCATTTTGTTTATTTGAAGGCTAAAATAGGCAGTATCTTTTGTTTGTTTATTAAATATGTTTTTATATTTTTTTTAGAGAGGAAGGGAGAGGGATAGAAAGATGGAAACATTGAAAAGAGAGAAACATCAATTGGCTGCCTCCTACACACCCCTTAGTGGGGATCAAGCTGCAACTTGGGCACGTGCCCTGACCTGGAATCGAACCAGTGACCTACCTCTTGGTTCATGGGTCGACGCTTAACCAGTGCGGCACACCAGTTTGGCTGTATTATCTTTTAATAGACTTAATGAAAAATACCTGTAACCAGGTTTTGATACAATATGAAACTTGTTCAGTTAATTGCATGCTATAATATTTCAAAAATCAAATTTCATGTCTTTAACCTTTTTACTTTGGAAATTTGGTAGTTTTTGAGTTGTAGAGTATCTAAACTTTTGGGGAGTATTTTAGAAATTTCTATTTTAAGGTAACCTTTTGTGTAACTTTGTGTTGTGTAGCTATTTTTATTTATTTTACTAAGTGTTGAATATTTTGCCGTAACCTACAGTATTGTGCACAGAAACATGCTCTGTGGAGACATTTATGACTGTGAAGGAAATGAGATGTCTTACACATTTAGGTTAATATATAACTTTAGAGTTGATATAGTTGTATGTGTGTGTTTTAAATTACGTTTTTATTGATGTTAGAGAGAGAGGAAAAGAGAGAAACATCCATCTGAGAAACATTTACTGGCTGCCTCTTGTATGCAACCTACTGGGGATCAAGCCCTTAGCCCTGGCATGTGCCCTGATGGGAATCAAACCGGTGACCATTTTGTGCATGGGTCAACACTCAACCAACTGAGCCACACCGGCCAGGGCAAGAATTGATGTAAAGTTTTTAAGAAAATGCCTATGTTAATAACATCTTTAATATTTGTTGGCTTATAACCATGTTTTTAGGGAAATAGCACTGAGTACATAAGCTAGGGAAAAGTAAGTGTGGAAGTTTTTCATGTTAATTTGGAAGTGTCACGCATTTAAAAGTTATATAAATCTTTGCATAACACGCAGGTACATATTGTTGTAAAAATTATATTACCTTAACATTTCAATATGCATAACATGCACACCCACTGAACAAATCCAAAGTGTACTTAGATTACGTAGTATATGGAATAAAATTTAAAGCCTCTAATGTGTGATATAAGTATTTTCCATTATCGGCTTCCTTTCTCCCTCTCATGGCAGTTTCTCTGCCACTGCCAATGAGATGATCTGAAATCGTTTATTGCTGTTCACTTTGTTACTTTTCTTACCTACTAAAGTAGTAACTGAGAATCTCTGGCATGCAAAGTAAGCATGAAACATTGCCCTTACCCATAATGAACTTCATTGTGAGTTAATACAATCAATACACAAAATAATCAGAGTAAATTAATTGTAAATTATGAAACACAGTTGTATATATAATAAGTACAAGTAGTTCAGTATTTATGTCTATTTCAAAGTAAATTGTGGGTTGGTCCAGGTGGTTTTAAGAATATAAGTGTGATTTTATGGATTGTAGGCAGTTTGAAATGCCATTTTAATTATTAGATTGTCAATATCGTAACCAAACTTGAAGTATATCTGATGTTGCCAAGGACACAAAAACATTCTGACTGTTCGGTTAGCAACTTTATCAGAAGAAATATGAAACCGTGCCTTTAGATTCCTTATTTAGTTAGGAATTTAAGAGAATCACAAATTTTAAGGCATTTTATTTACCAGAGAACCATATTTACATTTGAGCATTTACTTAACTTCCTAAAGTCTAATCCATGTAATTTTCTCCTCTTTACATTTTATTTAACATGACACTTTATCCTAATGATTTACTGGGTTATGTATCATCATATAGTTTTGTTGCTGGTGTCAGTTCACATCCTGTCAAGTTACATTGATGGAATGTGTCAATAGATTTTTCTGGTGTGTTTACCAGTGTACATACTAAGTGGAAAATAGGTTATAAAACTGGTTTTCATGGGATCAGATAATTCTAACATTTCTTAGATCTTTAAATTTTTTTTAATTTTATTTTTTTGAAAGGAGAGAGAGAGAGAGAGAGAGAGAAAGAGAGAGAGAGAGAGAGGAAGGAAGAGGAAGAGAAAGCGAGAAAGAGAAAGAAACTGGTTTGTTGTTCCACTTAGTTATGCATTCATTCATTCATTCATTCTTGTATGTGCCCCGACTGGGGATTGAACCCATAGCCTTGGCATATTGGGCTGATGCTCTAACCAACTGAGCTAACTGGCCAGAGTCTTCGATTTTTTATTTTTTAAATATGTACTCTATGTAGTTTTTACAAAACTGATTTGAGAGAGAGAGAGACATTTATGTTGGAAAGAAACATCCATAGGCTGCTCCCAGCATGTGCCCTGATCAGGGATCAAACCTGCAACCTGGATGTGTGCCCTGATCCAGAATTGAGCCCAAGACCCTTAGGTGATACTCCAGCCAACAGAGTTTCTAGTACGCTGGCCAGGGCTTAGATTTTGTTAAATTCAGTTTAATTACAGATGTGTGATAGAAGACGTGATTGCTAAAAATAAGGCAATTCAACTATTGATAGTTGGAAATATTATTTTTTAGTTATTTTACTATACCTATAGTAGCATAGTTATATTTGAATCTCATAAATTAGATGTAACAATTCTGTTCTATTAAAAAAAATCCACCCTAATCTATGACCTGTTGTTTTTGCAAAAGTTGAGGTCAGATTGATTCCTCCCAGATTCATGTCTTCACTCTTTTTCATTTCCATTGTGAGTGATGTATTGGAAGTCTAGTAAAATTTTTTGTTTATAACTTTGCTAAGGAATATAAATTTCTTAGTTATAGATTTATCAGGAAGACCATTTATGGATTAAGGAAATAATTCCTTCCCTATGAAGTTGGTAGATTCCTGAAGATTGGGTTCAGAAAGAGCAATAGTGTGTTGTCAGGGACAGATAAAGGAATAAGACTTTTCTCTCGCAGCTGTTCCTTGTGCTTAGCCATTTAGAGTTGTCGGTTTTAATGAAAACTTCAACTCATGTTATAATGTGCTTTTGAGAAATTGAATTCAGGATGTTATAAAATTGACCTACATAATGAAATAGTAGAAGAAAACTCAAAGTTAAAGTCAATTTTTTAAAATTAAAAAAAAAAATTTTTATTGATTTCAAGAGAGGGAGAGAGAGATAAATACATATAAACATCAATGAGAGAGAGACTCGTTGATTGGCTGCCTCCTGCATGCCCCCTATTGGGCATTGAACCCACCAGGATATGTGCCCTGACTGGGAATCGAACCCAGGATTTCTTGGTCCTCGAGATGACACTTAATCCATCACAGCCAGGCTGAGACCTTCTTTATTATGAATTTTTAGTGATAAACAAATATATCAGTACTTTAAAAATTAAAAAAAAATTGTGGAAGGTACCTAAAAATGCTGTGTTTGAGGCCCTTATAAATGTGGTATTATAGCTTAAACACTATTGTAGTTTTCGACTTTCTTATGAAAGAGTTTGTTCCCATTTGCAGAATTTCAGCGTGTTAAAAAATTTAAAAAGCTAATGTAATAATATTATATCTGTATTTGGTTGCAGTGGCTTTTAAAAATAAGCTTTGTCATCTTGAGAGTCATTTCAATTTGTTTGTTTAGATCACATATTTCTACATAAAGTTAAAAAACAGTACCTCATACTTTTTCGAGATGTTCATTAACTATATAAAAGTCAAGAGATTCGTTAGTTATAGTGAACATAATATATTGAAGGGAATGGATTCTTTCACAACTTAATGCAATTTACATAACATTTTTAGTCATGACTAAAAATATTAAGTGGTTTTCAAAGTGCTAATCTGCTTTTCATTTGAACTGGTAGAGTTTAGCCACCATGTAAAGGGAGTATTTGGTTAAAAAGCAAACCATAGAAATCATACTGACTTTATTTTAAAATTCTTAAGCTTTTACAGTCTCAAATGTCCTTAAGTAATTGATAGTTGTCTCATATGTTTTATATACTTTTGTTTTTAGAATGAAAATTCTATTAGTGTAGGTAACACTCTGTTACAGAGTAGTTAGCTGAGTGTCCCATTCTCAGAGAAGGAAAATGATTTTGATGATGTCATCTATATACATTGCCTAAGTGTTGTTACATTTTTAATGTTTATTGAACTAAGATAGGACAGCTCTAAGTATAGATTGTTTTGCGTAGATGGGTTTAGCCCAGCACCTGCTGGTAACCAAGGTCCTCCTCCAATGATGGGTATGAATATGAACAACAGAGGAACTATACCTGGCCCACCAATGGGTCCTGGTCCTGCCATGGGACCAGAAGGAGCTGCAAATATGGGAACTCCAATGATGCCAGATAATGGAGCAGTGGTAATGTATCATAAACATTATTTTGATTATATTCAATAATATATACTTATGCTCTAAAGGTAACTTCACACTTAAGATAATTTGGCATTTGTTTTGGCAGTAAATATTAATATGCAATGAAGAAAAAGCAATCTTGTGAAGTTATATGTTGATTATGAGGCAATTTTTAAGTATCTTGAGAGAGTTATGATTACCACCCATGGCATGCTTTGTACTTAGGTATGTAGCAAACATATATGTTACATTTGCTTTTACAGTGCTTTCAATTTGTATCCACCTCTTACCAGCGTTCAGGTACTTTATGATTGTGTTCTTTTCCTGTGTGGACTCCTTACCTTTGGTGGGGGACAAAATTCCAGTACGTGTGAAAACAGTTTTTTGTAAACATAAGTTTAAAATTTTAAACTTACATTGTAGAATTACTAATTACGTTTGTTACTAAGTTAAAAGTAGACAGTTTTATGTCTTGGTTTGAGAGTGTGAAGATATCTTTGTGTGCATTATTATAAAAATGTTTTTCAGTAATAATTCTTACATTTGAATATCAGTAGCAAGACTTAATATCTGTTTCATTTCCCTCAAAGTCTATCACTGTTTAAATGAGGCTTTATATTAAACATTTTCTCATTTGTTTTTTGTTAATGGTTGTTCTAAGTACCATTTAGAAAAGGGAAATTGGTTGACCGTATATTTTGAAAAGGAAATTTAGTTTTCAAACCACTACAAAAATCTTAAGTCGCCATTGCTGCTAAGAAAGAAAAAGCACTGCAAATTAAACTTAGACATGCCATCAGCTGTAACTCCTTCCTGGTCTCAGAGGTGTTAAAAGTGGATGTGTGTCTTAGAATTGGTGGATGCAATATTTTACCATTTTAAAATTTATTTACTTTAAATGCTATCTTTTATGAATTTGGAGAAATTAGACATGCTAACAGTGTTTTTTAAAATGAGTGTAAAGGGAGATAAAGAGGCAGTGCTGTCATATCTTCTATGAATGGATGGCGTTTAATGTAATTAGTGTATTTGTTAACTTCAGTGGAAGGCTTTATTTTAGAGTAAAATGTTTGAAAGCTAGTAAAAACTTGCAACACCTTGTTTAAATTTTTGTGTAGCAACATAATCATTAGTAGTAATTTTGAAGCGCTATATGTGGCCAGTTTTTCCACTCCTTCCTCTAAAATTGTATACTTTATTTAAATATTGTCTTTGGTCTTTTTCACACTGGAGTTTTGAGTCTGTTCAACTTTTGAGATTAATATATGTGGTTATTACTGTGAAATTTTTCTAACTATATGATTCAGATGTCCAATAAATTGTTGATTTTAAAAAACTTTATTTTCTCAATAATAATCTTTGCAAAAAACATCTCAAAAGATTTCATAACTTTTTACTTTCTGAATATGATGCTACTCCTCAGTTTTATCTCTGCTGTTTTTTTAAAAAGTATTTTTTATGCACCACAGTTACATGCAATATAAACTTTTTTTTTTAAAGGTACCAGAATAGTACTATAATATTGATAAGAGGTTTTTAGGATGGCATTTGCTCCATTAAAATCAGTTTGTTCTTCATGAAATTGGGGCATTATATAGCAGTATGTAACTCTTCAGATGTTTTGTTCTTTTAAACATAGTAACTAATTAAATTGCTCCTTTCTTCCTTCTATGTGTGATCCTGATTCTGCTGGACTTTCTGCTGAACTTCATGACACCACTACTTGGGATTTTGCCAATTTTTCTTGTCACTTATATTTGGCGTGTTCCAAATGGACTTTATTGTGTTGTATTCTAGCACAATGATAGATTTCCCCAAGGACCACCATCTCAGATGGGATCACCTATGGGTAGTAGAACAGGTTCTGAAACCCCTCAAGCACCCATGAGTGGTGTAGGTCCTGTTAGTGGTGGTCCTGGTGGTTTTGGTAGAGGAAGCCAAGCAGGCAACTTTGAAGGCCCTAATAAGCGTCGTAGATATTAAACATTCTTTCATTCCTATTTAGAGAAAAAAAAATTCAGTGGTATGCCTTTACACTTAACCTGTTACCTTGGAAGAATGGTTTTATTGTTAATGTATGCAGATGTTGAAGTATTTCTTTGTAAAACGAGGTTTTTGTATTTTTCTTTATTCATGAGCTTTGTAGATTAGAATGGTAATGCTGATGCTCATCATTGTGAATGTTAAAATGTGTTTGTGACTTTAGCTAAATATAAATATCCCATAGTACTGTTGAAATCTATGTAGTTCAATAAAAAAATCATTTTGGATAATTTACAAATGTTATTAGTGGTATTCTCTTACAGTTTTGCTAAACTTGGCTGTAACAGTAATACTTTGGTTGCTTTAACTAATCCCAGCCATCTAAAAATGAAAATGGATTTCCTGCTTTTTAGTTTGTGCAAGTAGCACTGAAGATAGCAGCTAGTGAAAGGTAATGTTAATAAGGGGTCTGGCCTGGGAGTTTACATTTGTGTAAACCATTCATGTTCTGTGAAACCAGAGTTGCTGTCAGATTTCATATAGAATCTGATTATTCAGATATTCCAAGAGGAATCTTAAGGATACCTTTGTCCTGTGCTGATTTTTTCAAATAAATCTTTTCAATCTTGGAAAAAAACCTGTTTGAAGGCAAATCTCTTTTGCTTATGATATAATGTTTGTGTTTTTTTCATTTTTTATCTTTCCTCCCATTTGGTGTCAATATCTAGATCTTACCCTTTAAATTTTCTTTAAAATTAAACAATACTGTTAGATTGTATACTAAATGAGGATTTACTGTGTGATTTATAAGAAATAAGACATTTCTTGAGAAGGTTAGTTTCTAAAAGTATTAAAGATGGTTGACTCTGCAGTGTTGTAAATATTTTCCTAGAGTTGGTAAGTCTCCAGTAAAATTTGTCTGATGGGCTAGGTGTGTTTGTCTCCAAGGAATACAAGTTTAATTTTAAAAAACAGAATTAACTTGAGAATGGCTAGAGTCATTGGAATCATAATACATCTCTCTATTATTGGATATGTAATTTGAATTTTGATTTTCAATACTAGGGGAAAACAGATTTTATGACATTATAATTTTTATTCCAAAAGAAAGCCTTTGCTGTTTTTAAAATTTTGTGTTTTAGCCGTGCTTGTTTTAAAATTGCGTGTAAGGAACATATCTTTAAATTAAACGGCAAATCTGACACATTAGCCATTGATCACAACATATTTTTTCCTCATAACTTTTCAGTGTTACTATATCATGCTTTAACATTTCTTTTGGAAGAATAATGCACTAGTATAAAATGAACAGCATGTAAATACTACCTTTTATTTTTGCATAGTTTCTGTTTTTTCTGGAGGGCATACTTTGGAAAGAAATAAATTTGGTTAATTTAAAATCTTGCATAAACACAGTTGGGTGTGAAGTGTAACTGAGATAACTTCTTTTGTGCCAGTTAAAATGTTCTTATGTACTATTTTTTAGATACAACAGTGTGGGTGGAATTATTTTCTAAAATTTGCACCAATACAGGCTTTTGTGTTTGGCAGTCATGGAGATTGTAAAATAATAAAGATTATTCTCATTGCTGTTTTCCATGAATATATATTAGCAGGGAGTGGGATTTGTTTTAATTTGTATATTAATTGCAGTGTGAGGAGTTGAAACATTAGCTATAATCTTAAAGTAATATATATTGCACCTCATACCTTTCCCAGCATGTGTGTTTTTTTTATATAATTCTTAAGTAATTTTTAGCTTTGTATTTTGTTTCAAAGCAGAATTGATATTGGGAAAAACTTTATCCTTTGATGTTAATACCAAGCTATCTTTGGCCAAGGCTGTGGAATTCTATAAGATTCATTCAAGAACATTTGAAAGCCAGTGCACAAAGACGTGCAAATCTGCTGAACATTCTAGTGTCCGGCTCAGCTCTGGCTCCAAGAAAAGAGCTCTGCACAGCTTTTTCCCTGCATCAAGAAAATCCTTGTTCCAGTATTTAACCAAGTTTACCCTGGGAACAGTCAGCTTCTGGGAGACAGTCAAGTGGAACATCTGTGAACTCCTAGCTATTCAGTTTTTAGTGTTCCCGTAGAGTTAACCTATGGCTGGACCAGTCAATATTTTTCTTGTGAATTAGTATACCAGTGAATATATTTCAATGGTATTTGCTTAAAAGTGGTAGATATGAAAATAAATGTAAGTTTGTTCATATATGCTACCATAATTATTTCCATAAAATGGTAATATGAAACAATTTTAGTATTATAATATCACAGTATTATGTTTTGTGCCATGATTTGAAACACTGGGTTTAAAGTCTACAGGATTTAGATTTCATATACTATTAATGTGTAATAAATATGCATAAAATAAAGGAACACTCATTTTTCTAATTGCTTTATTTCAGCAATGTATTTTCTCAGGATTTCCCTGTTTTTGTTTATTATGAAAATAAATGCATTGATTTTCTTGAGAGATACAGTTTTTATTTGAAGGACTCTATGTTTACTTATATTTCATAAAGCTTAATTGGTTATTCTTCCTTGAGTTTTTGGATTTGTCTATTTAAATAAGTGCTGAGTGTTCAGTGGAACAGATTAAATATTTGTTTTTTTAAACTCTACAATATCAGTAATATTAGGGAAGAAATTGTTTAGTTGGAATTGTGATTTAATAGAAATTATCAATAAGGACAGTAACTGAAATCTTGTTTCTCAAATACTAATTGAAACACCTTCATGTTTTAATCAGAAGCATACTTGAATATTTCAGTAACTTGGTGTTTATGTTTAAAGTCTATAATTGCTAAATGTTACTGTGAATAATCAGTAGTTAACTAATTGAAAATGAGGGTTAGGTTGATAATTACAACTTAGATTCTGAATGAGAAAAAGAACATAAATGTGTGATTGAAAGGAAATATTTTGAAATAATGTGATCAAATGTACGCTTAAACCTTTAAAAGGTTTGAAATTTAGTGACAAATGGGACTAGTCCAAAATAAAAGGTACTAAACTTTTTTTTTTTTTTAAATAACGGGAAATTTCTTGGGGAGTACTTGTGGTATTTATGTTTTTTTTGTGTGAAGAGTTTTGTTACAATAGCTAATAATATGTTAAAATACATTCCTGAAATTTGAGAGGGTAGTGATGATGTAAAAAGTCACAATTTCAAGAATAAGCTAGTAAACACCCACATACCTAACTCCTAGATGTAAATGTTTTCCTGTGATTATTTCATAGACAGATATTCTTAGATGGTGGCATTACTATTTCAAAGTAAGTTTCAAGCTTATCTCATGGTAAAGAAATAATGATTAAGTAAAATAAACAGTACTTTTATACATAACAAGAGCAGTATTTTCTTTACACTATCTTCTATTGCTAAATTTAAAAAATAATTTTAATGTGCTCACTTTACATATTGTTTTTTCCAGTTGTGTAAAATGAAGTATGCATACAGTTTCCCAATTGAATGTGGTCATACAATTTATGGAATGTCACTCTGGGGAAATAGTAAAGAATTCCACAATTTTTATAATATCTGATCTTTAAAATATGCATTTTATGTATTATATACTTTACTAGCCCTTTTTTTGTCAAAAGCACTGTCTTCTAAATGTGGGGAAAATACTTAAAAATTTTTTATTTGCTTCTTTGATTACTCATAACAGTATTAATTGTTGGCATTTGAATCTTAAAAGAGTAAATATTTAAAGGCCCAATCAGAGTGCTATGTTATTTTGGGAATATTTTTTGACCACATGTCTTTCTCTATAAAAGCATGTTTAGATTATAAATATCTAGGGCTTCCTTTTGGTTGAAACTTCTTATTCAATTTTATATATATATATATATTTTAATATATTTTTATTCAGAGAGGAAGGGAGAGGGAGAGAGATAAAAACATCAAGGATTAGAGAGAGTCACTGATCCACTGCTTCTTGCATGCCCCACACTGGGGATTGAGCCTACAACCTTGGCCTATGCCCTGACTGGGAATTGAACCGTGATGTTCTGGTTCATAGGTCCACGCTCAGCCACTGTGCCAAGCTGGCCGGGCATTATTCGATTATATTTTTATTCACCTGGTAGAATTAGCAGTCTCTACTTTCTTTGTTTTATGATATTTAATTTTCCTTGTCAATAAGACAAGCCTATATATTCTAGGTGGAGGATATTTCATCCCTTAAAGTAATTTAGCTGGAGTTCATAATTCCCAGTTAAAAAATTTTTTTTTGAGTATATTGTTTTATTGCTCAAATTACTATATACCAACGCCTCTTTCTTCTGCAACAGATACTATATTTTGTTGACTATGTTCATTTAAAAATCTTAAGTTAACATTACTGTTTAATTTGTCTCTTAGTTAAAGCATTGTATTTTAGAAGAGATGGTATTCTGCTTATGCATGTAAATAAAATTTTAGTTCTTTTTCATAAAATACAGTCACCTAAATTTCATGTAAGGCACTTCTCTCTCAAAATTAAGACTCAAAATAGTAGGCTTAGGTAAAAAAAAGGAGTGTAATTAGTTTGAGTATATGACATTTTTCTCTTCAATTTTTCTTATTTTTAAAAAAGTATAAATGTTTTTGTATTAAGTACAAAGGTCAATAGTAATGTAAGTGGACCATATACTTCTTAAATGCTCTGTATAAGTAAGTGTGTCATCTGTAGTGTTGAAGATTTTGAATTGATATTTATACTAAAATTAGTTTCTAGCTCTGAAGTTGTGAGTATAGATTCAAACTTCACATTTTTATTATACATCTCAATTTAAGGTAGAAAATATATGTATTTAAGGTAATATCAGACTCTTAAATGAATAGCCACAGTGGTTTACTATGTTTTATGTTATATCTATGACTGGATCTCTAAGACATAGTCTTCCTTGTTTTATCTTTTATGTAAATTGTCACTCAGATGGACTTTTGTAAATCTGAGATTTTTAAGTATGTTTTTGCGTTTTAAAAGAACTGTGTAAACAGTCCTTATCACGATGAGTAACATTTTCTGTGCTTAATTAGGTTTATTTTTTAAAAATTATCCATATCATAATATGTGAAAATAGAGAACATTTTATTTCATTGTATATTTTGCCAGAATAATTTCCATTAATTTCCCCCCAGGGCATATGCAGATTATTAGATAATGTCAATTGGTATATGTGAGACATTGGTTAGATTTACATATCTTTTTTAAAAAATATATATTTCTTTATTGATTTCAGAGAGGAGGGGAGAAGGAGAGAGAGATAGAAACATCAATTATGAGAGGGAATCATTGATTGGCTGCCTCCTGCACGCCCTCACTGGGGATCAAGCCCACAACCCAGGCTTGTGCCCTTGGCCGGAATCGAACCTGGGACCCTTCAATCTGCAGGCTGACGTTCTATCCACTGAGCCAAGCCGGCCAGGGCTACATATCTTTTTTAATGTAATGAGAAAAAGTACATCTCACACGAAGTGATTCTCTTAATAGTTTCTGACCTTTTTAGTTTTGGAGGCAGTAGTGACTTCCTGAGTGATTATAATGTTAATGCTTTAATTTGGTTAGAATATTTGCATGTTCTTGGACTTGGTTAGAATATTTTAAACGTTAGGATCACTATGGAGCCAACAGTTGAGCAAAT